GAAGAGGGCCATGTCGGAGGCCGTGGGCAGGTGCGGCGTGGACGCGGGCGAGCGGGGCTGGTCTCGCGGCTCGGCCGAGAGCATCCCTTTGGGGGCCAGCCCTGTGGCACCGCCTCAGCCCTCTTTTGGCTCCTCGGACTCCGGGTCAGAGGGTGCAGATGTTCCCAAACTTGTAAGTTTTTGAAACTTTTTGACTCATTTGTAATGACGCTTACTTTAAAACACAAGTGCATTGTACAGCTGTACAAAAACATTTTCTTTCCTTATCCTCTTATTCCGTAAGCTTTTTTACTATTTAATATATATTTTTTACTTTTTAACCTTCTGTGTTAAAAATTGAGATACAAAAATACACATTAGCCTGGGCCTACACAGGGGAGGACACTCGATAGCAGTGTCCTTCACCTCCACATCTTGTCCCACTGGAAGATCTCCTGTGTTAACGAGGACTTCATATGAAATACCACCTGAAGGACCTGCCCGAGGCTGCTCTGTGTTAACTTTATTTTTATAAATAGAAGGAATACTCTGTAAAATACTGATAAAATTATCACGTATTAAATAATAAACCAATGATAATTTATTACCATTATCAGGTATTATGTGCTGTACATAATTATATATGCTATACTTTTATTCAGCTGAAAGTGCAGTAGGTTTTTTTACACCAGTATCACTGCAAAGACCTGAGTAATGCATTTTGCTATGATGACGTTATGTGGTGCATGACTGTGTAGATATATTAAAACATACTGTTGTACCCCTTAAATTTATACAATAAAAAAATTCTTGTTCTCATGATGTGTTTGTTATCTTGTTGTGGACCACAAAAGGAGATGCAGGGATTTTCAATTCGTTGACCAAAATACCAAAACTTTTACACTTATATATTAAAAGCAGAAATAAGTGCGTGATCCATGTTATTTATAAAGACATATATTAAAGCTAAATAAATCTTTTATTTAAAAGAATGCGTTTTAAAAGTACCAAAACCAAGAAGATAAATCTGCAGTTACTCAAGTAGAATAAGAACAAAAAGAAGACACACAATGCGTTTCCCCCAGATCCACCTTGGCCCTCCACTACTTAGAATGTTGACTTCTCTTTGCAACCAGAAAGTGAAAAATATGCCTCAGCTTTCACTAGATCTAGGAGGAGCTTCTGGACATGGCTCTGGTATATTCCCTAGCCTGGGCAAGAGTGCCATCCCTGCCTATAGTTCTGGCTTAGGTTATCTCTGCTTCGTCTCTCAAAGCCCCTCTAGAATTCATTAGGCCATAGAATTCAAGAACCTCCAAGGGCTGACAACTGCTCTGATAGCAGGAGCTGGACCTTTTGAGACCCAGTGTTCTGGTTGGGTGGTACCGTCCTTAAAGGATTTATATCTAACAGATCCAAGGACTTTTCCCTCTAGCAAATGGAAGTTGCCTTCCTTAGACCAAAGCTCTCAAGTTCCTGACAACCATGAAGAATAATAAATGATAGGACACTCAGCCTGACAGTGCTGCCTGGGACCCTCTAGCTAGGAGTCTACTAAGGAGCTGGTCTCTGTGTAATAACTAATACTCTGTGGTGCTCATTTTCCCAGTGCTCACTTATGGATGTCTTCATATAGGCCAGTGTTTTCCAACCTTTTTCTTTTCTTTATCTCACAGAATGCTGAAACTTGTACTTAAACTCCCATGGCACACTTAAATTATGATGATTTTAAAAAAGTAAAAAGAAGAATATAATTACCACCCTTTGAACTTGTTTTGAAAATAATTAATTAATGAACTTTAAAAATTTTCATGGCACACCAGTTGAAAATTACTGATATAGGCTCCTGTCAACTGGATTAAAGTCTTTCTGGGAAATGCCACATCCCTATAGACTCTGGAGCAGTTTCCTTTCTACAAACCTTGCAGCGAATGGGTCCTCGTCCTAGGTGGGATGTGAGATGGGAAATCTACAGCACAAGGCAGGAGGGTCCAGGCTAGGTGGTGGGTGACAAAAAAACCAAACTTGTTGATCTATTTTTTCTCTTCCCCAGCCAGATTTAGGATCTTTATATAAGGAAGTGGATGAATCAGACGACTTTTTAAATTTCAAAGCATTATGGGGATACAAATATTTTGGGTTATATGGATTACTTTTATAATACTTGAGTCATT